TAAATAAGAGCAGATGCAGTCTCTTGAACGCATTAGACTTGGAGGATGGATTAATTTTTTTATTTTTTTTTGAATTGCTTCAATGAAATGAAATGGAGCCTAGCTATAAACATAGTTAAATTTGCAGAGAAACTCACTGTTGGTACTGTTCATAGAGGGAAGGCGTACAAAAAGAAGAAAAAGTACAGGTCAATACGTTTTTTTTCTTGGTGAATTTTATAAACAACGTGTTTGTCAACCACGTTTTGTACAAAAAAAAAACTCCAACTTTTACGTTTGAAGCGTGATTTGTTGAATCCGTTNGTAACTTCCATTGGAAAGTTTAAGTCATATTCACATCATTCGGGAAGGATCAGATTAAAAATCAGCTGAAACTTAGAAGATTTAACCATTAACATTACATGGAATAAATAATATTCAATTCATTCACTTCAATCGTATTAATTTATAAAAAATTTATTATTTTACCCATCAAATAAATAAAAATACAGATAAATGGATGACTTTTTAGTTAATATATATTAGTACTATAAGAAAAGTGAACTAATTAAACAGACCAATGACTCGAATTAATCACCAAAATATAGCAACTTTTAAACAAATTTACCAAAATATAACACTTTTAAACTTATTTACCAAATTACGATACTTTTTGAAAGCAGATTCAATAACTCTGCTTTTTATCCCTTTTTATGAAAAAAAAAAAAAAGTTGGACAGTAATGAAAGCGTGTTTAATTTCTATGCTTTTTCTGAAAAGTGTGTTTATTAAACACGCTTTTCACACAAAATTGGGCAACTAGTGCTAAAATCACTACATGTCTTTTACAGTTGTTTCTACTCGTGCTTCCATCTCTCTACTCTCTGCTTTTCAATTCTTGAAGATGCCTAGGCCAGGCCCAAGACCCTATGAGTGTGTTAGAAGAGCTTGGCACAGTGATAGACACCAATCCATGAGAGGCTCTATCTTTCGAGAGATTTTCAGTTACCCAATCTCTCTATACCCATGTCAAAAAAATATTATGTGTTTGTGTGATTGTAGTTCTGTTTCTTATTTATAACATATCTATGGTTAGGGTTGTGAATGAGATTCATAGTTCGGCAACTAAAAAGAACAAGGAATGGCAAGAGAAGCTTCCTATTGTTGTCCTGAAACTGAAAGATGAACAGGTTCTCTCTCTCTTAAACCCATCTTTTTCAGCAAAACCCATTTCTAATGGTGTTTTGATATATCTTGTAGATGACTGAGTTGTTCTCTCAATACCCATTAGAAATTAAAACGGTTTTTTCAAATTTTTTTTGGGTGAATACCCATTTGAAAGTGCTCTGCTGTTGCAACACATTTTTGTGTTCCACAATCTTCTCTTCGTCTTTGTCTAACTTACCTTTTGTTTTTTTTTTTTCTTGAAAACCAGAATTATTCAAAACTCAAAGATCACCCAGGTTCATCTGGACAACAAACACAAATTGTAGTGCTTCAATTAAGCAATGTAAACCCAAAGATCCCTTCGCAACATGGGAACTGCCATAGCCATTACCATTAGCTATCCAAAATGTTTAGAACCTGTTTTTCACCAATGCGCATTAGTCCAATTAAATAAGAGCAGATGCAGTCTCTTGAACGCATTAGACTTGGAGGATGGATTAATTTTTTTATTTTTTTTTGAATTGCTTCAATGAAATGAAATGGAGCCTAGCTATAAACATAGTTAAATTTGCAGAGAAACTCACTGTTGGTACTGTTCATAGAGGGAAGGCGTACAAAAAGAAGAAAAAGTACAGGTCAATACGTTTTTTTTCTTGGTGAATTTTATAAACAACGTGTTTGTCAACCACGTTTTGTACAAAAAAAAAAAAGTTTTTCTCCAACTTTTACGTTTAAAGCGTGATTTGTTGAATCCGTTCTAAAAAATATCGTAATCTGATAAAGAAATTTAANCTCCAACTTTTACGTTTGAAGCGTGATTTGTTGAATCCGTTCTAAAAAATATCGTAATCTGATAAAGAAATTTAAAAATATCGTATTTGGTAATTTTATTTTAACANCATTAACATTACATGGAATAAATAATATTCAATTCATTCACTTCAATCGTATTAATTTATAAAAAATTTATTATTTTACCCATCAAATAAATAAAAATACAGATAAATGGATGACTTTTTAGTTAATATATATTAGTACTATAAGAAAAGTGAACTAATTAAACAGACCAATGACTCGAATTAATCACCAAAATATAGCAACTTTTAAACAAATTTACCAAAATATAACACTTTTAAACTTATTTACCAAATTACAATACTTTTTGAAAGCAGATTCAATAACTCTGCTTTTTATCCCTTTTTATGAAAAAAAAAAAAAAGTTGGACAGTAATGAAAGCGTGTTTAATTTCTATGCTTTTTCTGAAAAGTGTGTTTATTAAACACGCTTTTCACACAAAATTGGGCAACTAGTGCTAAAATCACTACATGTCTTTTACAGTTGTTTCTACTCGTGCTTCCATCTCTCTACTCTCTGCTTTTCAATTCTTGAAGATGCCTAGGCCAGGCCCAAGACCCTATGAGTGTGTTAGAAGAGCTTGGCACAGTGATAGACACCAATCCATGAGAGGCTCTATCTTTCGAGAGATTTTCAGTTACCCAATCTCTCTATACCCATGTCAAAAAAATATTATGTGTTTGTGTGATTGTAGTTCTGTTTCTTATTTATAACATATCTATGGTTAGGGTTGTGAATGAGATTCATAGTTCGGCAACTAAAAAGAACAAGGAATGGCAAGAGAAGCTTCCTATTGTTGTCCTGAAACTGAAAGATGAAAAGGTTCTCTCTCTCTTAAACCCATCTTTTTCAGCAAAACCCATTTCTAATGGTGTTTTGATATATCTTGTAGATGACTGAGTTGTTCTCTCAATACCCATTAGAAATTAAAACGGTTTTTTCAAATTTTTTTTGGGTGAATACCCATTTGAAAGTGCTCTGCTGTTGCAACACATTTTTGTGTTCCACAATCTTCTCTTCGTCTTTGTCTAACTTACCTTTTGTTTTTTTTTTTTTCT